CACACACACTCACACACACACACGTGTGTGCTCCCCATACTCAGGCCTCCCCATCGCCGGCCCTATCACTCACTTGGTTTCAGATCTTCAGGAATGGAGCCCTTCCTCTCCCTCACTCTCCTGACCATAATGCCTCTGAGTGCTTCCTCTAAGTTTTCCCTCTTCTCCTCTCAACATCCCTGAACTACTTCAGACCTTCATTTTTCCCGTCTAGGTTCTCCTTAACGGGCCATATTAATATCGAATTGTTTAGCAGAACTTTATCACCAAGCCTAGATTATGAACTCCACGAGGGTGGATGCCAACTCATGCTCATCCCTCAGATGCCAGTATCCAGTTCCTGCAAAAGGAATGAAGCCCCTGCCAACCTTTCTCTGAATTCTCCTTGCCCTGCACAGGTACCGCCCACCCTTGACATTAGACTTAACTCACCTCCTGACTCCCAGTTCTTAACCACATTATTCCCACACTGGACTTCTCAACCTACCTGGCCTTTGCTTCTGAGGGCCCTTCTGGAAGCCATTGGTTACACAGAAACTGATTCTGTCCAGAGCCAAGTATTCCCCATATCTTAACCTGTCCTCTGGACCATTCCTGAGGAATCACACCATGAACTGCATGAAAATTGAAGGCCCAGTGCTGACCCTTTTCACCATGGAACACCGAAGAGACTCTCCACACCTTTGAAAGCATGCGAGCTTTCTTTCGCAACCCAAGGACGCTTCTGTGGCCGGAATTGTCAGGTTTCTACAGACATACGCCCACATTACAAGACAGAGAAAGAGGGCTGTCAAGCTAGGGTTGAATAAACCCCACAGATATTCCAGCAAGAAGTGCATTAAATTGAGAGGCTGCAGTGAGCAAATCGCTTGAGGCCAGAAGTTTGAGGATACAGTGAGTAATGATGGCATTTCTGTACTCCAGCCTGGGTGACAGGCTCAGCCTGGGTGACAGAGCAAGAGCCTTCTCTTAAAATTAAAAGAAAAAACAGAGTGTATTTAAAAACAGTTCCGTTTGCCTCCAGGAGCTGGGGAAGGTATCACCTGGGAAAAGGCAGGAGGAAACTTTCTGGGTTGCTGGTCATGTTTCATATCTTGATTGGAGTCCGGGTTACATCAGTAGAAGCATTTGTCAAGACCAAAAAATACAGTTAATATATATATTTTATTGTATATAAGTTTTGCCTCAAAGAAAAAACTATAAACAAATATTAAATATATTTTTAAAGCAGCTTGGTATATCTGTTTCCAACAGATTAATGTTATTAGTTTAATCTAAACTTTATCCACCAGTTCTCATCTCTTGCCCAAATTCTGAAGGTTTCTAGCCCTGCTCACTTGTAGGTTTCTAGCTGCACTTCACCAAGTGACTGCATTCTAACTGTGTGTCTGGCATCTTCACTGGGGTGGGGTGCACAAACAAATTAAACATGGTCCTTCACTGCACAGCTCAAGTCTAGCATAGAAAACCAAGCACTGAACAGACAATCCCAGTACCACCTGAGTGATGCACAGATAAAGAGAAGAACAAGGGGATGGTGGAAGTACCTAGCCCAGAACTCTGCTCTCACTTTGGTGGGGAGAGGAAGGAGTACAAGAAGAACGCCAAGGAAATCTTCCAGGAGTTGGGCGCAGTCGCTTACACCTGTAACCTCAGCACTTTGGGAGGCCGAGTTGGGTAGACCACAAGGTCAAAAGCTCGAGACCATGCTGGCCAATATGGTGAAGCCTCGTCTCTACTAAAAATACAAAAATTAGCTGGTCATGGTGGCACATGCCTGTAGTCCCAACTACTCAGGAGGCTGAGATAGGAGAATCGCTTGAACCCGGGAGGCAGAGGTCGCAGTGAGCAGAGATGATGCCATTGCACTCCAGCTTGCACTCCAGCCTGGTGACAGAGTGAGATTCCCTCTCAAAAAAAAAAAAAAAAAAAAATTAAATCTTCCAGGAAGAAGGTATTTCTGATCTGAATCTTGAAGGATGAGTAGGGAGAAGCTCTATCATCTAATCGTAGGAGGGCATTAATGACAATACACAGAAGAAAATATGTGAAGAGGCAGAGGCAAGAAAAAAACTAAATCTATGTAAGAAACTGAAAGAAATTTAATGTGACTGAGGCAATCTCAATGAGGGAGTGAGAAGGGTTGAAACTGAAGGGGCAGACGCCAGCTCATGAAAGATGGTGTGTGCTCTGCACATAGTTTGTCTACTAGAAATCACTTAGACAGCTGGGAGATGGAACTTGAGACTGTCAGAGGGAAAACCAGTTGTGAAGCTGTTTCTTCCATGGACATAAAAAATGGCAAGGCCCCCAGGCAGAGGCTTCTGAGCTAGAGCCGTGGGGTTGACGAAGAGACAGCACTTGATAAACCCCAGTGTCCTTGTACATACGGGGCCAGGAGAAGGAAAAATGTGAAATTACCCTCAGATTTCTGTTTAGATAACTGGGTGAATGCCAGTACTGTTAATAAGAACCGAAAATGGTGCAGGAGGAGCAGCAGGTGATGGGGAAGATGTAGGGAAGGTAGGTGAGGCCAGTTTCAACCCCTAAGGTTCATCCTGTTACTGCCCATCCATTAGTGGGTATCAGTGTTCAGGAGAGGGGTCTGGGCTGGAATGAAAATGTGGGAGTCAGAAGTGTGACTTCAAGAATGAGTCACACAGGACAGTGTGTAAGAGAGAAGAAAAGGGCTAAGAATAGAACACCGGAGAATATGGAAGGGGCAGGTAAGGTGAGTGAAAGTGGGACTGAAGGGTGGTCAAAAAAAAGGAGAGAGAGAGAAAGAAAGAAAACCCCAGCACCTCGAAAGATGAGTGGTTCTAACAGTGTCAGAACCCACAGAGATCAGATGAGACAAAGGCTGGAAAGTGACGACTGTATTTGAGTACCTCGGCAAGGATGCGTCTCAGTTCCAGGGATGGTGGGGAAAGCACTACAGGATGATAAGAACATAAAGCAAAACACGGATGTTGAAGCCAAAAAAAATGGAGTTGTTTTCAAAAAAGCCTGGTTGCAGGATTGGAAAGAAGCTAGACAGGGATAGTATAAAGGGAACATTTTGCTTATTTTTAAGATGTCTATATGTTGAAGGAAAAAAGCCAAGAGGGGCTCGCAATGAACCACACCACAGGAGAGACGGTGGGAGCTCAGAGGGACCGAGATCCTGTGGAGGCGGAGGAAGACATTCAGAGCACAGGGAAGAGCCCCAGAAAGTTGACCCAGAAAGTGGATCTGTGCCTTTCCTGCTCGAATTTTATAAGTATCCTGGTCACACTGCCGAGACGAGAGTCAGAGAGATTACATGACATGCCCAAAATCACTCAGCCTCTAACTGATGGAGCAGAACTTTGCGTCAGTCCCCTAGGCTAGGAGGAGCATGTTTTCTCTTCCAGGGCAGAGTCCCCTGCTCCCACCGATTGTCCCTTCATCTGTCTGAGATCCTTGTCCACTGTGTACCCTCTCAAACAAAGACCACAGTCTACTCATCTTTATCTGTCTGGGCCCAGCACGGTGCCTGGCCCAGAAACAGCACCTCAGGAAACAAATCTCAGTCCCTTTTCACAAAGTTTCCAGGAACAGAGCAAGGGCAGGCTCCACTCTGTGGAGAGAAGACATCTCAGGGAAGTAACCAGCTTAGTCAGGAGCAGAAACCAAGATTCCAAGTTATCCTCAGCTCCCCAGCTTGGGTATGGAATAGATGGAGGAAATTGACCAGTTTTGACACATGTATTCCTACACAAAACCTGTTAGGATAAGAATGATCATTTCTCAGGCCAGGTGCGGTGGTTCACGCCTGTAGTCCCAGCGCTTTGGGAGGCCGAGGTGGGCGGATCACCTGAGGTTGACAGTTTGAGACCAGCCTGACCAACATGGTGAAACCCTGTCTCTACTAAAAATATGAAATTAGCCAGGCATGATGGCGCACGCCTGTAGTCCCAGCCATTGCACAACAGCCTGGGCAACAAAAGCAAAACTCCATCTCAAAAAAAAAAAAAAAAAGAATGATCATTTCCCACCATCAAATGCAAAACAGCTGAAGTGTAATATGAGAGCTGGAATCAATAACACTGTATTGAATTTGGGATTTCTTCTGGAAGAGTAGATTTTAGGTGCTCTCATACACACGCACACACACACACACACACACACACACACACGGCTAATTATGCAAAATGTTGGAGATGTTCATTTGTTTGACTATAGTAACCATTACACTATCTATGTGTATATCAAAACACCATGTTACACCTTAGATATTACCATAAAATAAAAGAAGAAAGTAAAACGACTGAAGTGGGACAGGCGAATTGCCTCTCTGAAGGCCACACAGCTAGTAAACAGCAAAATCGAGTTACAAACCCGTATCTCTAGGACTGCTTCTGCCATTTCAAAGCAAACGCAAGTCTGCAGGAAGGGTTGCTGAGGCAGAGAGAAGCACCTTTGGATATTCCACTTATCTGGATTATCCATACCACTGGCCTCCCTCTCCTACCTGAAGGGCAAACTGGGAACTGACTTCATACTCTGGCTGACTTACCAAAATTTTCTGGGGTAGAGGATCATTAGCTGGGACTGAAGACGCCTTAGTCAGGGCCTACTGAGGCTGAGGAGCTCTGCTTACCATATGAAGAACTGTAGAGAGCACAGCAACCTCTCTGGACCTTAGTCAGGAGGGGTCCCCAAATGCTATGAGGGCAGCCTCCTGGGATGGGCTCAGCCCACTCAAGGGAAGCCTCAGCCAACCCCACTCTCTCCTGATGTCTTGGACCCCCCTCTCTTTCCAGGTGGAAGGAGAAATTTCTGGGCACAGCTCGCCTGCCAGGGCCCTCTCTAGAAACCTCTGAGTCTCCCCAGGACCCCAGATGTGATCAGATTTGGGAGCCCAGGGACAAGTGAGATGGGGAGGGGAGAGGCAGGCAAAGGATGCCAGTCAGGACGGTGCCAGCTCTGGAGCTGCTGTCCAGGACCTACCTGCAGGGAAGGCGGGTACCAGCCGGCCCCAGCCAGCCATTGTTGACTTAAGAGGTGGCTCTGAGGTGGGAGAAGAGGAGGAGAACACACCACTGGAAAACTGGTTCCCATTGGTCCCTGTCATGCTTAAAAGAGGCCCAGAGAGGCAGTCTGGACACCTCAGATCCCAGGATCTCCAAGGATTTGGTGGCATACCCACTCCAGCACACAGAAGCAATGAGGTTCATGACTCTCCTCTTCCTGGCAGCTCTGGCAGCAGCCCTGGTCTGTGCCTGTGAGTATGGCTCTTCCCCTACATCCAACCATATCGTCCCTGGAAGACTGGCCCCTGCCTTCATCTCCCCTCCCCCTCGTCGGCAGTGGCAGCTCTCCCACGTCTGTCTCTGTAGCCCACTCCTGCCTCCCACTGGGTTCTCCACACGGGGACCGTGTGCCCACTGGTCAGAGGAAGCCAGGAGCCCCCTGGCCCCAGCACAGCTCTGCACGCCTCTCCTCTCAGTCTGTGGTTGGCCCCCTCTGCTCCAGCCACGCTGGCACTCTTTTTCCCCTCAATGAACCATGCCATTTCCTACCACCGAGACTTCTGCACAACCTCTTGTCTTTTCCCGTGCCCATTCTTTCACCCACCCATGTCGACCTCCCTCCTATCCAACTTCCAAGTCTGCCCCTCCGGTTCTCTGTCTCCATGTATTTCCTCACAGAAGCCTTACTGAAGCCCCAGAATCATTTAGGTCCTGGTTTTTCATTTTATATATTGCCTCCTGTATTTTTTCTTCCTAGCACTATCACGAATGTAATTAAATAATTGTTTGTGTAATTATGTTAATTCCTCCAAATCTCCCATTGACTGTCAGCTTCCCTGAGCAAACGCTGTCTACCTCGTAGCTGTATCTCCAGCCTCTAACACCACTGGCCTCCCTCCCCTATCTGAAGGGCAGACTGGGAACTGCCTTCATACTCTGGCTAACTTGTCTGGTGACAATGTGTGCTTCATTCATGCTGTCAGAAGAATAAAGAAATGGAGGGCTGAGGTGCCCATATCAGGTGACAGTCAGAACAAGTCTTGCCCTATCACTAGGGCAGGTGCTGTGGTCACACCCTAGTTGTCATGCCCCTTCAATTTCCATTATGAAACTTGGACATCTAAGGTATAGAAGAGAGTCAGAGAATGATTCCCATTCCGTAGGGATGTTATGAGTAGCCCAGGTCTGGAGAGGATAACAGAGAGGGATTTGGTTGAGATATCAAAAAGCATCTCTGGTGAACCCCTTGTGTAGCAGAGCTTTCTCTCCTGTCTGTCCACTGCCACACTCCTGAGGTGAGAGGCCTGGGGACTCTAGGCAACCCTGGCTGGTAGGGCTCATGCAACTGCACCCTAGTTGACATGGTCACTGTTTCTTCCTTTGCAGATGGCGCAGAGGCTGCCTCTGCCCCAGGATCGAGGAACCGTGAGTCCTTCCTCTTCCTCCTGCCCCAGTCCTGGGTGGGAGGGTTAATGACGGCGGGTGGGGGGAGTATGAGTGGAGGAAGTCATAGAAGCAGAAGAGGGGCCCGGGGGAAGGAGAGTTGGGAGGCCGACTTTTTGGAGACACTGAAAAGGGAGACTTCCTGAGAGACTCACGCTTGGGAGAAGAACAGAGCCTGGGGGAAAGGGTAGCCCTGTATGGAAGTAGAAGTTGAGTAAGAAAAAAGGGAAAGAAAGGAAAACTTGTCTTGAGCAAGAGGAGGAACTGCACACTAGAGAGGTGCAGAAGTTTTCATCATGCCCCACCCTCACCAACAATTTCAATTCAAAAACCTTTCACGGGGTTCCCCATTTCCCATCACAAAACTCTCACCTCCTAGTCTGACAGTCAGGGTATTCATGACCTAGATCCAGGATACATCTCAAATATAATTTCCCTGGACTCCACTGCTTGCATTCCCTACATCAAATGTTACACATTTGTCTCATCTGGCAAAATGAGTAACTTTCTATTACCCGACATTCCTCCTCCCCAGGCGCCTCCCTGTCCATGCTCTATCAAGCTTCAAGCCCCAGCTGCTTCAGGAAGCCTTCCCTGCCTGGTGGGTGTGGTCCCTCTTTCTGTCCCCATCTCTCCTTTCATCCCTCCCTCCTCTGGGCTTCCCATATATAGCAGTTCTGTCTCCTTTCCTAGACCATAAACCCTTGAGAGAGGGATCTAATTCTCATTCATTACTGCTTCCCCAGCCGTGTACACACTCAGGATACTTAATTAACAGCAGAAAGATAAACTGTATTTCCTTACACCTTCACCGCACTGTGAGCCCCAACCACAGCACACACCTGCACTCCCCCTGCCTTCTCACACACAACCCAGAGGGAACACCGGGCAACTTGATCTCTTCTCAGACGCCCCTGGTATGTCTCACACCAATGCGATAAGAGAAGTTTTGATTCTCCACATAAACGAATGGATTGTTTATAGCTGCAGAAGCCCCCTTCAGAGACTGTTAAATTTCTGTCCTCATCCACCAGCCTGCCCAGAAGAGAGAAGCTAGTGCCCTCTGCAAAACCTCTGCACACTAAGAGGCTGGTATAAGGGATGAAAACTAGGGGGAGTCTCTTTAAGGTGATCTTTCTGCCAACATGACTTTACTTTCCCTAAACCATAATCCACTCTAGAAAAAGGCCCTGGAAGAACAGGAAAAGTCTCGGAGACAGCAGGAAAAAAGCTTGAGGGATGCTAAAAAAAAACCTAGCACATCATGAAAGTCAAGCTCTAGAGGAATTGGGAGACCGGGAGCTACCCTCAAGCCAGACCTTGAGGGAGTAATCACCACCTGCTAGGAAGAGTGGAGGGAGCTATCATTCCTCTCACCCCTTACCCTTGCAGCTTCCCATGAGGCATCATCAGCTCAAGAGGAAAATGCAGGTGAAGACCCAAGGTTAGCCAGACAAGCACCAAAGCCAAGGAAGCAGAGATCCAGCCTTCTGGGTAAGCCTCTTTGCCAATGCCTGGTATAGAATTCTGATGCATGCAACAGCAGGATTTATCTGGGGGCCGGTCTGCACTCACAGGCACAAGCCAAGCACAGGGACACAGCTACATCTATACTCCTGGGGAGGGGTTGCGGGGTGCACACCTGCTTCTACACACAGAGTTTCTGGGCCGTAAGTTTTGCAGCTTATACTGGACTACCAACCTTCCCATGACAGAGAAGTTGGTTCCCTCAGCAAAGTCACTTCACCCTAGGGGTGCCCGTGGTGCCTAGGAAGGTAGAAGGGAAGGTAGTTCTCCTACAAAGGAAGCAGTTTTTCTGCTTGCATGACCTCTTCTTTTCTGAATCCACCCTAGAAAAAGGCCTAGAGGCAGCAAAAAAAGCTTTGGGAGGAGTTGAAAACCTAGCAAAAGACGCAGTTGACGATCTAGAAGACATAGGTAAAGGTAAGTACGTCCCCACTGCTCCCTCAGGACCAGCCTCAGCCTCCACCCCTTGCATGAGACCTGAAACTGCCACAGCCCCCGCCATTGACACTGAAGACCCTGCACTGTGCTTTCAAATGTCTCCAATTTCTCATGCAGATTTAAATGGCCATTCTTATCTGATATTAATTCTCCCTGCATCTAACTTGCTTCATTTTATTGCTCTTACCCCCTGCCCCTGCTAAGGTGGGGAAGAGGGTGGGTCCTTGGGGCTCCAGTGAATCTAACCTCCATCCCTCTGACTTCTGTGTAAGCCCTTCCAGGCCTCAGTGAGTTTGGAAAGCAAAAGACAGAGTTGAGGAGGAATGGAAGGGGTGGAGCTGGTGCCCGGGACCCTAGAATCCTTACTCATATTCTCTTCCTTCCCCCTACCTCCAACCCTCTCCCCCTCCCCCTCCCCTTCCACCTTTCCCCCGCCCCCTTCCCCTTCTCCCTTCCCTTCCCCCTCCCTCTCCCTCCCCAACTCCCTCGCTCTCTTTCCCTTCCTTTTGTCTTCCTACCTCTTTCCCCCGTTTTTTCTATGGCTGTCCTAGGAACTATCCATGATGCTAAGGACATCCTTGACTCAGCACTCCAGCTGTAAGGAGAAGCTGAGAAGTGATGCCCAGGAGCAGCAGGCTTTAAGTCTTCAGCCTAAAACTTAAAAAAAAAAAAAAAAAAAAAAAAATGTAAACAGCTATTAAATTGAAAGCATCTGTAACACTTGGAGTATGTGTGTGTTTTCCTTAAGAAGAGGTGGGGTAAGAAACTTGGCCAGGAGCCCAAGAGGCTGGAGGAGCACCCCATGAGGCTTCAGTTGGCACCCTGGCCCTTCCTCCTGAACCACAGCTTCCAGACCCAACCTTCCCAAAGAGCAAAGCTGCAGCAAGTTCTTTGATTCATACCGAGCCTCTCACCCGTATTTGCAAGGGCTAAGCCTCAAATCCCAAACTGGTTGCCTCCTTATCCCTCACTCTGCCTGCCCAACGGCGTTTTACCCTGCATCAGTGTTGACGGGGACTTCTCCCATTGCCCTGGAATTGGCTCTAGGACCCACAACTAGAATCATAGACCTCCAAGTACCCCACATTCCATGAAGAACTGAATCTGGAGCCTGCCCACCACCCTGGGACTTTCTTGGAGCTAGAAAAGCCAGCCCAACCCAAATCAGCCACAGGATTATCATTCTCTGCCCTGGGGAGAAGAAGAAAAAATGGAATCATCAGGGTCACTGGCTCTGTGGAGAATGTAGTGTTCATGGCAAAGAGATTTTTCCTGAACAGCTCCATGGAAGAAGGGAGGGAGATGATGCTTCTACCCTTCCAGTGAAGGGCTGTGGAAATCACTCCAAGATTGAAGGTTCCAGTCCAGGAGGAGACAGGCATCTCCCGTCCAACCTCCCACCCCCGAGATGAATACACCCTCTAGACCAGGCGTCCTCAAACTTTTTACACAGGGGGCCAGTTCACTGTCCCTCAGACCGTTGGAGGGCCGCCACATACTGTGCTCCTCTCACTGACCACCAATGAAAGAGGTGCCCCTTCCTGAGGTGCAGCGAGGGGGCCGGATAAATGGACTCAGGGGGCCGCATGCGGCCCGTGGGCCATAGTTTGGGGACGCCTGCTCTAGACTGACCTGAAGCTGCCCAGACTGGAGCACAGTAGGACAGCTCTTGAGAAAGCCGTGTCTCCAGGCATCAAGAGTATATTAACTAGGGAAAGCTAACCTACTATAAACAGCAATCCAAGATATAATTGCACAAACACCAGCTCATGTACAAGGCAAGGTGGTTTGCTCCAGATTTGGGGGCAAGGGGCTATAGTCTGTCTTCTCCACAAAGTCATTTAAGGATACAAGGATGTCAATAGCCCTGCCATCTTCAATACCTGGCTTCAAGATCATTCTATCATCTTCATCACCATTCCAATCACAGAAGTGGGGAGGGGCATGGAACAGATTGCTTGGAGGTTTGTATGAGCTACACCAGCAAGTAATACAAGAACCCACTCCCAGTGGCCACACCTAACTGCAAGGACTGGAAATGCCTAGCAGGAAGATGATCAGAGTGAATATTTGTGTCCCTATAGCAACTTTTGCCACAGGGCAAAGTGAACAAAAAAGCGGGTACCTGTTTATCATCTGACATTTCTAGAGGCAAGAAGTTTTTCATGGTAGCCCGTGGAAGAGATGCAAGAAGACACTCTGTTCCCAGGCTCCTGAGGCCACTGAAGGACAAGGAAGAGAACTTAGGATTCCTGTTGCTCTCAGGAGTACATTTAAAGAGGGTCAAGAGCCAAGAGGCTGCATGAGGGGCTTCCAGGCTGGATGGGAGGAGGCAGCACTTGGTGAGAGGGTTGAGAGTGTGGGCCACTGGCCTAAGGGAACTGCCACTCTTTGAGGGGCTCCACACAACGGCAGGGCTGTGGTGAAGCTAACCACCATCTATCTGGTGACCATCACAGCCTGCTTCCGTGGAGGCCTCCAGAGAAGCAGAAGAATGGAGACCAAGCCAAGAAGAGATCAGGATTTCTCCCTCATTGACTGTGACCAGTGACCTTAGAAGATCTCTGTCTGCCTCGTCCCACCTCCCCGGAGATCCAGAACCAGACCTCACCCCTTTTCATGTCTCTCCAGTGAAGCATATACTGGGGAAGGGAAAGGAGGTAAGATTTTAAGCTGGATGGACTCTCAACAACCACAAGGAACTAGAACACATGGAATCCTCTCAACATGTCATGAATAAATGGAAAGGGAGATTTAACAACACATACAAGATGCCCCTCACTTTAGGATGGTGTTACATCCTGATAAGCCCATTGTAAGTTGAAAATGTAAGTTAAAAGTACATTTAATGTACCTAAGCTACTGAACATCATAGCCTAGTCTTGGCTATCTTACATGTGCTCAAAACAGTTACATTCACCTAAAATTGGGCAAAATCATCTAACACAAACACTATTTATATAATAAAACCCTATTTTATTTTCTAGTGTTGAATAGCTCATGTTATTTATTGAACGCCATAATGACAGTAGAAAACAGAATGCTTTTATGGGTACTAGAAGTATGGATTCTACTGAATGTGTATGGTTTTCTCACCAACATAAAGTCAAAAAATTGTAAGTAAGGGACTATCTGTATTTGGGAGCATTGTTTGAGGAAAAACACACTCCACCAAGTCCTGCCTATTCAAGAAACGATTATTTCTAAAAATAAACCCACAAGCATCAGGATTTGTCATACCAGTGATCAAGAGGCCGGGCACAGTGGGTCACGCCTGTAATCCCAGCACTGTGGGAGGCTGAGGCAGGTGGATTGCCTGAGCTCAGGAGTTTGAGATCAGCCTGGCCAACATGATAAAACCCCGTCTCTACTAAAAATTCCAAAAAAAAAATTAGTTGGGTGTGGTGCCACATGCCTGTAATCCCAGCTGCTCAGGAGGCTGAGGCAGGAGAATTGCTTGAACCTGGGAGGCAGAGGTTGCAGTGAGTGGAGATTGCTCCATTGCACTCCAGCCTGGGTAACAGAGCAAGACTCTGTTTCAAAAAAAAAAAAAAAAAGGATAGCCATTTCTAAAGGAGTCTTCTGTTATGTAAATTAAAATTTCAAATCTAATTCTCAAGATGTTAAGGAAAAAGCAAAGAGAGAAACGGAAACAAAGGCAGAGCATGATAAAGCAAGCGAGATTAAATGTTGACATTTGGGAGCTCGAGTCCCCAGTGGATCTAGAAAGAGGATGTAAAAATTCTTTGTACAACTTTTACAAATCCTCTGTAAGTCTAAAGTTATTTCAAAACAAAAAGTAGGTAATAAATATGTTAATTAGCTTGATTTAGCCGTTCCACAGTGCACACATATTTCAAAACATCACATTGTACGTGATAAATATATACAATTTTCATTAGTCAACTTTTAATTAATTTTAAAATAATAAAAATTTTACACAAAATGTTTAGAAATAGTAAGAAAATCCATTTTCACAAGAAAATCCAGATTTCCAATTTTCCTTGAAGAATTAGAATGTCTGGCAGCCATCAGCTCAAGGCAGGAGCAGCTGGCCACTTGACAAAGGGCAGGCACATGCCAGTTGGCTCCAGCTCTACCACTTCCTCCTGATTTCCTCCACCTCAAAGGGCAGGACAATTACTACTTATCATCGCCCCTGTGCTGCTGTTTGCCTTGTACCTGGACTGCCTCGCTCATTAACGGTACCTGCTTGACTCCTGCAGGCATTGAAATTTGCAATCCCTAGCCCTGGCCTTTAACTCCAAGTCACTTTCTAGATATTGCCAGATGAGGTAGCTAGACCCCATGTGAGTCATGAGAATCCTTCTTGCTTAGACCACAGGCAGAGAGCCCGCTCATGTCTGCTTTGTGGACCGTTCCACAGCTTCCTGAAGCTTACCCCTTCACCTGTGAAACGAAGACAGAAAAGAAATTCTTCACCTTAAGGCCTGGAAAAGCTTTCTGAAGCTGCATATAACATGTCTTCTCTTTCTCTGGGCCCAGTTGGTGTCCATCAAACCTTCCAAAATCAAAATGCTGAAGGGTACTGTCCTAGTTAATTTTACATGTCAACTTGGCTGGACCACAATGCCCAGATACGTGGTCAAACATTATTCTGATGTTTTTGTGAAGGTGTTCTTGGAAGAGATTAACGTTTAAATTGGTAGACCTTGAGTAAGGCAGATTGCCCTTCATAACTGTAGGTGGGCCTCATCCAATCTGTTGAGGCCTGAATAGAACAAAAGATTGACCTCCCCTGAGCAAGAAAACCTTCTGCCAGCAGGTGGCCTTCAGACTTGAACCACAGCATCAGCTATTTCCTGGGTCTTCAGCCTGACCTCCTTCAGACCTGAACTACAGATTTTGGACTTGCCTGCCTCCATAATCACATGAACTAATTTTTTTAAATAAATCACCCCCTTCTCTCTCTCTTTCTCTCTGTGTCACAATCTCTCTTTCTCTCTCTCTCTGTCTCAATCTCTATATATGTGTGTGTGTGTGTGTGCCTGTGTGTCTATGAATATTGATACTATATATTTTATATTTATATACTAATATTTATATATTAGTATTTATACTAAATATATAAATACACATAGATACAAATATGCACACATCCAATTGGTACTATCTCCCTGGAGAACCCTAACGAATACAGGTGCTGATTAGTTAAAACTAGAGAAACTTAATGTTACAGAGGCTTCATATTTATTTTAAAATGGAATTTAATATTTCAGCTAGGAGTTGTGGTTGCCAGCACGGACTCTGAAGCTAGGAAGCCCATGTTGAAATCCAACTCTGCCACTCACTAGCTGTGTCATCATGGGCCAGCGTCTTCAACTGCCTTTGCCTTAGTCTGCTTATCTAGAAAGTAAGAGTATTCATAGTACTTCATCTCATTGAGTTGTTAGGCGGATTAAATGAGATTAAAATGTATAAAGCTCTGAGAATAGTGCTTGGCACATGCTACATGCTGTATGTATGTTAAAGAATCAGAATTCGCATTTTTAAAAATTTCCCTCTATTGCTTTACACCGCCCCGATGGCCAAGATGGAAGATCAAGGGCATGAGAGGAGTGTGGCAGAGCTTGTGCAGGCCGCAGGGCTTGGCAGAGAAGACCAGCCATGTTGAGCATGGCAGCCAGAGTGGTCCTCTGAGATTGACGTGTGCCTGTGTCTTCAATGCAGGAGCTGTCTACCCGAAACAGTCTATGTCACTTCCTCCCTTTGGAGTCTCTGCTTCCCCCACCAGCCCCTAGAACAGGGCTTAACACACAAGGAGGGAAATGAGGAAAAGATATTCATCATGGATCAGACAGGAAGTGGTGTTATCAGTGGAGAAGTGCTGGCAGAAAGCAGCACACTCAGGAGGGCTTTTTAAAAAGACTCCTTAAAGAAAAATATATCTATTATCTACAGAGATTCAAGTAAGGACTAGCAACAGCAGGAAGCCTGAAGCAGCAGGGTGGCTGGGGGTGGGTGGGGGAAATAATGTCACCTGACACCAAGAGATGGCGCTCTGGAACAGGAACCAGACAGAAGCTGCAGTCAGAGAGAAACACAGCTATTGCCACACCATGCTGCACTGAGTATCTGTGGCTGCAAAAATTATTCAAACATTTGGTGGCTTCACACATTATATCTTATCCACAGTTGCTGTGGGTCAGCCGTCCAGGTACAGATGCACCCTCAGACTCAGAGTCTCTGCTGAGCCTACAGTCAAGGTATCATCAAGATTGCTGTCACCTCAAAACTCAGATGAGGAAGGATCCACGTCCAAGCTCCACCACATGGTAGCTGGCAAGGTTCAGTTCCTCACAGATAATTAACTGAGGGCCTTGGTTCCTCACTGGCTACAGGCTGAAGGCTGCTCTCGGTTTCTTGCCATGTAGGCCTCTCCACAGGACAGCCACCGACCACGGCCACTCGCTTCATCAGAGCAATCTGAGAAGATCCAGAGACATAGTGTGTGTAAACAAGACTAAAGCTGGCCGGGTGCAGTGGCTCACGCCTATAATCCCAGCACTTTGAAAGGCCAAGGCAGGCAGATCACAAGGTCATGAGTTCGAAACCAGCCTGGCCAACATAGTGAAACCCCATCTCTACTAGAGGTAAAAAATCAAAAACAAAAACAAAAAACAACTAGCCAGACATGGTGGTGGGTGCCTGTAGTTCCAGCTACTCGGGAGGCTGAGACAGGAAAATGGCTTAAACCTGGGAGGTAGAAGTTGTGGTGAGCCGAGATTGCGCCGCACAGTCTCAGAAGTGACTACCTCATCACTTCACCATCTTCTGTTTGTTAGGAGTGAATCTCAAGACCCAGCCCAGTTAGGCAGAGGAAGTTACAGCAGGGCACCAATGCCAAGACATGGGCATCACCGGGAGCTATCTCTGAAGTCATCCTACCACACATACCAAAGCAAGGAAGGGAGCAGGAGGAACAAACGCCTTGACCTCTCCCTCTTCCCATCCTCCCATCTCCCCCCGTGTCTCCTGTTGGCCAAACTCAACTCGAAGTTAGAGGGCGTGGGAGCCCAAGAGATACAGTCCCTAGGCATCCTTCCAGACCAGTGCAGAGACGAAAGAGAATAGACCTGAGGCACAGGGGAGAGAGGTACAAGGAGCAGCACATGAGACAAGACACAGATCAGCGAGCTGACAGTCATCACGGAGGTCAGATACGCTAGAAGACAAGACATCGCACAGAGCTGCCCCTCACCCGTATCCACGAGGTCCATCAAGACACTGCACAGAGCAGCCCCTCGCCCATATCCATGAGGTCTGTCTCTTTAATCTATGCATCCAGTTCTTTCCCAGGCTCTATAATTTGGGGTAACATTCCTCCTGGGCCCTGTCATAGAGTATTAAAATTTTCTTTTCTTTTTTTTTTTTTTTTGAGACAGTCTCATACTGTCTCCCAGGCTGGAGTGCAGTGACGTGATACTGGCTCACTGCAACCGCCACCTCCCAGGTTCAACCTATTCTCCTGCCTCGGCCTCCCGAGTAGCTGGGATTCCAGGTGTCTGCCACCATGCCCAGCTAATTTTTTTGTATTTTTAGTAGGGACAGGGTTTCACCATGTTGGCCAGGTTGGTCTCAAACTCCTGACCTCATTATTTGCCCACCTCGGCCCCTCAAAGTACAGGCATTACAGGCATGAGCCACTCCACCCGGCCAACAAATGTTCCTACTTTTCACCTCATCCCTATTTACGTAACACTTGCCTCTTTAATTACTCAGGCCAGGAGGAAGATGTGGGAGAGGAAAGGGCTACGCAGTGACATTTGGAAAGACCCTGCTCCGTGACAGTTCTCGTGTTGACACCAAAGTTCTTATTTCCTCCTAGAAAAGCCTTGTGCAAATAGCGTAATTTGCTCCTGTTGACTTTTTTAATGTGCTCATGGCGCCTGTTTGGGATCTAGATTTGTTTGGGACCTGCAGGACTTCTCCTTCCGCCGTGTACCCACACGCGCACACATGTACGTGCACAGACCCAGGGCACTGGTGCCATCAAAACTTTCTCTCGCTCCTCAGCCTTCCCATTCCAGGTAAGGCCACCGTTTTCGAGGCTCCCAGGCCCAGACCCTCAGGCAGGTAGTAATTGCTAAGGCTTTAATGTCCTACCCCATTAATTTTATCTTCCTTTATCTCCTAAAAAGATTAATGCTCGGGCTGGGCGCGGTGGCTCAAGCCTGTAATCCCAGCACTTTGGGAGGCCGAGGCGGGTGGATCACGAGGTCGAGAGATCGAGACCATCCTGGTCAACATGGTGAAACCCCGTCTCTACTAAAAATACAAAAAAATTAGCTGGGCATGGTGGCGCGTGCCTGTAATCCCAGCTACTCAGGAGGCTGAGGCAGGAGAATTGCCTGAACCCAGGAGGCGGAGGTTGCGGTGAGCCGAGATCGCGCCATTGCACTCCAGCCTGGGTAACAAGAGTGAAACTCTGTCTCAAAAAAAAAAAAAAAGATTAATGCTCTAAACCCTGGCACTCAAAACACTCTTATGTCAAAAACTCCCCAACGCCCCCTTCTCACACTTGTCTTCAGAGTCGCCATGAGGCAGAGACGCCTCTGGAGTCAGCCCGTGTGGGGCTGGGCGAGTGCCAACACCAAGCAAGGGAGAGTCACAAACTGGCATCCAGGTCCTCGTTCTCCGCCCTTCAGCCCCCAGCTGGCTCCTGCGTCTCCTCTGCCCATTCTATTAATATCTAGCATTTAGCACCAGCCTGGACAAAAACCTACCTGGAAAGATGGTACGAGAACCCCACACAACTTCACAGAACTTTGCTGTCTAAAAAAATTCTTTGCCGTGTATTATCTCACTTAATCTCCACCACTACACTGTACATAGGAGCCACAGCTCCTAGACAACAAATAAAAAATCCTAACACTTTTCGCAGCCTAACGTTTTCATATGACAAAGTCAGAAGTCAAAGCCCAGACCTCCCGAGTCCCAGATCAGGAGAGCAAGAAACCCCAAGTCAAAGAGAAGCTTCTTCAGAATAATCTGTTTTTCTGGATTATTCACACCATGGGTCAGCTCCCTACTTGGAGTGAGAACCAAGCTCCAATTTCAGTGAACCACCGTCACGATTTAAGGAGGAGATTCTGTCAGCAATATGGGGTCCCAATGGTTACGCCTGAAGACAGAGATCGATAGGCCTATGTGGGGCTGGAGGAGTTCTTTTTAGGGGCTGGATAATGTCAAGAACAGGGAACAACTCCACAGAAGGTACATATGCCTTCAAACTCAAGCAGCCAGGAACTCAGGCCTCAAGTGAGCCCCTTTCCCAGGGAAAACCTTCAAACCCTGCACTGAGCCCTGTGTAGGCTGGGACAGAAGGTGGACAATGTCATCTCCTGGGACCTCAACCGCCTCCTGGAGAGATGACTACCAGAACCCTCAACAGACACATCCCAGAATCTCCCCAAGGGAGATATGCTTTACCTACCATCCCCAAGATCCCAGGGGTGTGAACCCAGAGGGCAGGTGCGGTGGGGAGAGAAGGAAAGAGAAAGGAAGGGATGGCTGGGAGTTACTAGAGAAAGGCTCCTTCCTATCCAGGACCTGCCTGCTAGCCCTTGTTGACTTAGCAGGTGACAGATCGGGGAAGAAGAGGAGGAGGATGCGGAAGTCACACCCCTCCAAGCTTGGTTCTTATTGGCCCTTGACCTCCTTAAAAGGGCCCAGCAGTTTCAGCATCCTTATTCCCTGGACCCTCTGTGGCTTCTATGGTTATAGTCACTCCTCATCCCAAAGAATGAAATTCACCACTCTCCTATTCTTGGCAGCTCTGGCTGGGACCCTGGTCTATGCTGGTGAGTATGGCCTTTCCTCTGCACCACCCCACAGGGATGCCCTCACACCTGCCTTCACCCCTCTGCTCCTCTCTCCGTGCTATTCTGTCTTCCCTACCTCTTGCAAGTGACTCCTCTCCCAGTTCTCCACGCGTAGCCTCTGCACCCCACTGGCCAGGGAACTTGGAACTCTCTGGCCCCTGCCTGCTCTCCCAGCTCATCTTCTCACACACCGTCATTTACCCACTAAGCCCCAGCTACACTGGCTTCTTGCATTTCCTCTGGGCCACTGCATATAGTTGAGCAGGGTGTCCCATGCACAAGGGTGCCCAGGCACGGGGTGGTAGAAGCTAAAATCTGGTCCACACTCCACTTGCCAAGCAGTGAGCCTGGCCTCTGGCTGTGTCTCTTAGAGGGAGGGGATGCCTTTTTTAATCACACAGAAGCACCATTTGGGCCATGACGATCCTGCAGTTCCATGAACATCAGGACCTTCCTTCTTGCTCTCTCCTCATCTGGAATGCTTTCTCTCTCCCTGGGTCTTCCCCCAACCAACTCTAATGTCACCTGGCCAATGATTTTTCATCTAGAAAATCTCAATTTAGATATAATTCCCCAAAAAGGCCTTCCAGGCACATGCGGAACGAATCAGATCCCATGTGCCCTTCTCACACCAGGCTGCACGTTCCCTTCCGGCGCCGTCACACCAGTCATTAAATAATGACATAAAAGAACAGATGTAAGCTCTGTCAGGGCAAGGGTCTTGTCTGCCCTCTTCAGCACTGCACCTCCATCTCTTAGCACAGAGCTTTGCATAAATTTTGTATTGAAAGAATAAAGCGAATAAGAGCTGGGGTCTCAACCCCAGAAATCACTCAAAATGTGCCTCCATGGCCCCCACACACTGTCCTCCTCCACCAGAGGAGCTTGAGCCCCTCTGACCATGGCCAGCTCCCTGACAGACATCTCAGGGAAGCCTCCCAAGCCAGGGGTAAGTCAGGAGGAAGGCAGTGTTCCAAGAGACATTACACTGCTCAGAGGAGAACCTGTTCCAAAAGCTGCAAGAGTTAAACATCAGACAGAGTGCCCCGGTAGACCCACTGATATGGTGGAAGGGCATGTCCAACCACAAGGGAAATTGACTCCCTTTTATCCATGAGAATTCCCGAGAGCTAAGCTTTGGGAATGCGAGGGGAGGGTGGCTTGGGCGAGTCCAGATCGGTCCTTGCTCTCATCCGGCATGTTTCCTCCACTGCAGAAGATGCCTCCTCTGATTCGACAGACGTTGATCCTGCCCAGGAAGCTGGGACCTGTAAGTGCTCCTCTCCCACGTTCGCCGGCCCTCCTTGGGAGGGTTTAGCAGTTAGGGATGTGAGTGGAGGCTGGAGAAGAAGCCAGTGGGAGAAGATCTGGATTTCGTGCTTGGTGATAATGGGGAGGGGCAGGTAACGTTATAAACAAGGTAGCACGGTTTGGAATGGCACAAGGCTAAGGACAAAAGAGGATGATCCAGACAGCAAGGCCAAGAGGGAGCATGGGGGAAAGGTTGTTGTGAAGAAAAGGGAGAGAAACAGGAGGCTAAATGGTAAGGGCAATGTCTCACATGGCATTCATACCTTCACCTGCAAACACCTCCCATTACTCCCAATTCCTTAGCAGGGTCCCCATTATCTGGCCTCTAACCTCATTTTCCAACCCCATTTTCCATGACTTTCTTTTATGTCCCACCTACATCAGCCAAATTGAACTTGCTTCCACTCCCTACTCCTATCGCACACATGCCTCTGCCTGAGCTCTTACTCACTCACTGCCTGTCCCCAGGGAAGCCCCTTTGGAACATCCTCTCCCGCTAACGTCCTGCCTTCAAGATCCAGCTTCCCTATGAAGTGCTCCCAGATTCTCAACATCCCCTAGCCCAAATCCTTCCCCAACCCTGCCCACTGCCTTCCAAGAGACACACAGCGTGCAGAAATCCTGTCTCCTTTAAGAGGGCAGGGTTTAAGCCATATCATTTCTGTATCCTGGCACCCAGCACATATTAGGTACCCTGGGGCCCTGCTACTCACTCCAAAAGAAACAAACACTTTGACTTTGCTAAAAATCAGTCAATTTGTGCATTCATAGCGAAGCCTGATGAGGAGACCCCAGAGCCATCACAATCTGCTTCACCCCAAGAGACAACCACAGCAGCCCAGGAGACGACTTCGGCAGCAGTTCAGGGGACAGCCAAGGTCACCTCAAACAGCCAGGGACTAAACCGCCTAAGTAAGTCTCTGTCTCTATGCCATATCAACAACCTAGAGAAGTCTCTGGCTGCAAGCCCATATTAGACCTCCACACACAGAGATAAGCCTGGTAAGAAGCGGATAGACTCAAACACCTGAACACAAAGGCACAAATGGGACTACACACTGCGCCCACACACAAGGCTTCTGCAACAGTAGATGTTGCGGCCTGCACTATACATGGTTTCTGTCCTGGCTCACACACCTTCCTATGAGAGAAGTGCTGAGGCCGTCAGCAAAACTTCTGCACTTTAGGACTTTGTATAGGGATGATGTCCTGTTGCGGGGGGTGGAGTGGGGGCGGGTGGCAGGTGGGGTGGTACAGAGTTCTCTTTAAATGAGGTGACTTTTCTGCTAATGTGATTGTTCTGCTCCAAAATTAGAATCCTTGGTGGAGAAAAGTCTCTTACTAACAGAACAAGCCTTTCAAAGAGCAGGAAAAGGAGTGCATGGAGGCGTGGAAAGTGGAAAACAATTCTTTGAAGGTGAGTGCATCCCAAGGCAAGGCTTTGTGGGAATGAGAATTCTCACCACCCACCATCCAGGGGTGGGAGATGGGAGAGAACTTGCCTCCATTTCCACCCTCCCATATGAGACTTGGAATTGCCACAGCCCCTGCCATTGAAGACCCCCTCACTTCGTGATTTCATATGTTTCCAATTTCTCATGCAGATACAAATTGCCCGCTGGGTGTGGTGGTTCACACCTGTAATCCCAGCACTTTGGGAGGCCAAGGCAGGTGGATTGCTTGAGCCCAGGAGTTCAAAGCCATCTGGGCAACATGACAATACTCCATCTCTACAAAAAAAATACAAAAATTAGGCCTGATGGCATATGCCTGTAGTGCCAGCTACTTGGGAGGCTAAGACGGGAGGATCACCTGATCCCAGGAGGCAGAGGTTGCAGTGAGCCAAGATCATGCCACTGCACTCCATCCTGGGCGACAGAGTGAGACCCTGTCGCAAAAAGAAAAAGAACAAATTCAATGTGCCATGTTGTCTGATATTGATTCCCTTGGGGTCTAACCCCCAGCCTTCCCACAGTGAAGCCTGCTTGTTTCTAGTCTTCTTGCTCCCTGCCCCTGCCGAGGTGGGGAAAAGGGTAGGTCCCTCAGTCTCTGGTCAATCTAATCTCTATCCCTCCAACTTCTGTGTAAGCCTCTCCAGGGTCTCAGTAAGTTTGGAATGCAGAAGATGGAGTTGAGGAGAAATGGAAGCGGTGGAGCTGGAGCCTGGGGCCCCAAAAGCCTCATTTATTTCATCTTTCTTTCCAGGTGGAAGTGAAGCTGCACAAAAATTGCTGAAGAGATTTGGTCTAACAAAACTGTGGAACTGAGAAGCCGAAAAGAATGAGATCACTGGACTTAAAGCTTTAAATACCCTTGTAGCCCAGAGCTATTAAAATGAATGCATCCAACTTGCTGTGTGCCTGTGCTCTGTGGGATGGGCCCTTGAGGAAGGGCAGGGAGAAGAACCCTCCCTAGACCAACACAAGGCACAGGATGTTCTGGCCCAGGTCCTTGGCCAGTCACAGCCTGCCTAGAAGGCGGAGCCTCTAACAAGCCCTTTTATTCACATTGAGCCACATCCACATGTGCTCAGCCTCCTTTGATTCCAAATGTCACTCCAATTCTTGTCCACCGCTTATTCTTCAAACATTACTCCTAGTGACATTTGAGCATTTCCAAAAATTAAATCAACTTCCAAAGAACCAAGATTTATCACCTTAAAAATAAAGCCTGAGCCATTAATACGAAAGCCGCCTTCTGGTGCCTTTATTAGAAACTCATCTCTCCTGCCTTCTATTTGTACATTCTACATTGGGCCACAGTGGCTGGAAATGGCTAATTAGGTCAGACAATAAAGGAATGAGCCACTACAGTGATAACTGGCACTTGACTAAGAAGACCAATAAAGTTATTCTTGTGATGTGATGCATAGAAACCACTTATGACAACTGTGTTTTAGATGTGTGAATTATCTTCCCCAAAGGACTAAAGTCTCTCAAAGGGGTCTCAGTCCCCTCTTCCTCCACTTGCATCCTTTGTTTCTCTCCACCACAGCACACAGATGAACGAGGGAACATCACTCATGACTTTGAGGAGCAAAAAAAACTGGTTAATTTATAAGAAGCAAAATGTATTTCTTACAGTTCTACAGCTGGGAAGTCCAAAGTCAAGAGAGCACATCTGGCAAGAGCTTTCTTGCTGGCGGGGAATCTCTGCAGGGTCCCAGGCTGGAACAGGGAATTGCATAGTGAGGTGGCTGTCCGTGCTAGCTCAGGTCTCTCTTCCTCTTCTTAGAAAGCCTCCAGTCTCACTCCTGTGACAAACCATTAATCCATTAACCCACTAATTCATTAATCTATGAATGAATTAATTGATTCATAAGAGCAAAGATTTCATGACCCAATCATTTTTTTCTTCTTTTTTTTGAGACAGAATCTTGCTCTGTCACCCAGGCTGGAGTGCAATGACTCAATCTCGGTTCACTGTAACCTCTGCCTCCCAGGTTCAAGCAATTCTCCTGCCTCAGGCTCCCAAGTAGCTGGGATTACAGGCACCTGTCACCACACCTGGCTAATTTTTTGTATTTTTAGTAGAGATGGGATTTCACCATGTTGGCCAGGCTGGTCTTGAACTCCTGAGCTCAGGCAATCCACCCCCATCAGCCTCCCAGAGTGCTGGGATTACAGGTGTAACCCAGTCACCCAGCATAACCCAGTCACTTCTTAATAGCCCTGCCTTTCAATATTGTTACTTTAGCGATTAAGTTTCAACATAAATTTTGGAGGCGACAAACACTCAAACTATAGCATTCTACTCCTGGCCCACTGACACTCATGTCCTGCTTAAATATAAACATATTCATTCCAACTCAGTAGCCCTAAACTCTTAGCTCATTCCAGCACCAACTCAAAAGTCCAGAGTCCAGAGTCTCATGTGTGAGCCTGTGAAACACAAACAAGTTACCTACTTCTAAGATACAATTCTGGTAGAAGCATAAAACAGACACTCCCATTTTGAAACGGAGAAACAGGCAAAAACAAAGGAGTAACAGGTCCCAAGCACATCTGAAACCCAGTAGGGCAGACATTAAATCTTAAAGCTGGAAAATAACCTCTTTTGACTGTGTGTGGCCTCTCACCCACAACGGGGTGTGGGCCCCCAAGACTTCAGGCAGCCTAACCCTTATGGCTTTGCTGGTTATAGCCCACGTGACTGCTCGTAGGGGTTGGAGTCTGGTGCCTGAAGCTTTCCCAGGTGGGTGTTGCATGCTGCCAGTGACTGCACACTGCTGGGGTCCCTGCAGTGGTCCCGTTCCCACAGCTCCACTAGGCGTTACCCTAATGGAGAATCTCTATGGTGGCATCACTTTCATGGCTCCACTAGGTAAGGACTCTGCAGTGGCTCTGGCCCTGTGACAAGTCTTTGCCTGGGCCCCTAGGCTCTTGATGATATCCTTTGAAATCTGGGTGGAGGCTGCCAAGCTGCCACAGCTTTTGCTGTCTGCAAGCCTGTAGAATCAGCACCACCTGGACACCGCCAAGGTTGACGGCTTGTACCTTCCAAAACTGCAGTGCAAGCTACAACTAGGGTCACTTGAGGCTTGGCTAGGGCAGCCATGAAGCTCTGCACTGGGGCTCCAGAAACAGAGTCCCAAGACACCATTCTGCTCTCCTAGACCTCTGGGCCTATAACAGGAGGGGCAGCCTCAAAGATCTCTGAAATGCATCTGGGGTCTTTCTTCATTGTCTTGAGGAATAGCACCTGGCTCCCTTCTATCTGTGCTAATCTTCTTGGCTGTATTCTTCTTCTGAATGCACTTGTTCATTATTCATGTGGCCATGCTGACAGTTTTCCAAATCCTTACACTCTGCTTTCCTATGAATGTAAATTTTCTTTATAATTGTCTTTGAATTATTTCTTTGCTCCCAAATCTCAGCATAAGTGGCCAGAAGCAACCATGCACCTCTTTGCACATTTCGCTTAGAAATTTCTTCTGCAGATACTCTAGCTTGTCCCTCTCAAGTTTGGCCTTCTGCAAAGCCCTCAAGCATAGACAGAGTTCAGCCAAGTTCTTGACAATTTATAAGAAGAATGGTCTTTATTCCAGTTTCCAATATCTTATTCCTCAGTTCCATCTGAAATCTCATCAGAATGGCTGTACTCTTCATATTTCAACTAGAATTCTGGTCACATTCACTTAACTAATCTCTAAGGAGTTTCAAACTTTCCATAGTTTTTTTGTCTTCTAGGCCCTCACCGGTATCTAGTCTTTTTCTAGCCTGCTCCTCAGAATTCTCCCAGCCTCTCCATCACCCAGTTCCAAAGCCACTTCCATACTTTCAGGTATTTGTTATCAGCAACAACCCCAGTCCTCATACCAATCACCTCTTAAGGGCCCCACCTTTCAATACTGGTTCATTGGGGATTAAGTTTTAAGATGAGTTTTGGAGGCAATAAGCATTCGAACCATAGCACATCCCATCTGATTCCTCTCCTTCCATTCTGAGTGTGGGGAGCTTTCAGTCTGGACTTTGTTTTAAATGAAGGAAGAATGATATCCCTACTTACCTCCCACCACCTCCACCACGTGTCTCCATTTCTGAGAACAGTGCCAAGAAACCAGAAGGAACTCTCAAGAACAAGTCCCTTCTGAGCACAGATCACAGTCAATACTGAGTAAACAGAGCATTTCATATTCACACCGCTATGTGTTGGATTTTGTCCCCCAAAAAGGTATGCTGACATCCTAATCCCCAGTACCTCAAAATGTGACCTTATTTGAAAATAGGGTCATTGCAGATGTAATTAGTTGAGATCTAACTCGAGTAGTGTAAGCCCCTAATTCAATATAACTGCTATCTTTACAAGAAGAGAAACATTTGGACACAAAGACACAGAGGAGAAAATATGAAATTGCACAAGGGTAGCCTGCCACAAAGGGTAGATCGTTGTGGTCCACAAAGGCAGAGACTGAAATGACACATCTGTAAAACAAGGAATGCCAAGAACTTCCAGCAAACAGCAGAAGCTAACAGATGCGAGGACGCATTCTCGCCTGTAGTTTCAGGAAGAAAGGGTCTGCTGACACCTGGATTTTGGACTTCTAGCCTCCGAACGTGTCCTCCGGGATACGTTTATGCTGTTTTCAGCTACCCAGTTTGTGGTGCTTTGTTATGGTAGCCCCAAGAAACTAATAACCCCCCTCATTCCCAAATTCACTTTCTCAGCAAACTACGGCTCCTCCTAATTCCCAGTTTACATGGGCTCAGAAACTCCAGACTCCCTTCAGCACTGGCTGGACCAGACATTTCTCCGTGTACGGGTGGAGAGAAAGCTCCCCCTTCACTTGCTGAAGGTTTGCTGAAAATCAACTGACAAAAGGCAAATTCATAGGAGAAAAAATAAATTTTTAGTAACATGTGCAGGGGTGGGGGGGAGTGATTTCCCTCCAACCCAATGGAATAGAGATGCTTATATAACTATAACCTTTTTCTTAAAGGAAAAGGAGATGGGAAAGTATGGATAATTGTAGGGGAGTAATAAATGATTTTTAGGGAAATTCAATGGGCTTGGGTAACATACAATGTGGCCTGGGACAAAGTCTGTTAAGCCTGCAAAGCAGACAGTGGTTTGTGGCAAAAGTCTGTCTGGTTGTACTGACAGACTTCAGTCTTTCTTCCTGAGATAGAAATTCAGTTACTAAATTCATATCTCAAGAAGAAAGACAGAGAAGGGACAAGAGGTCACTGTTTTCTCCTTTGGCAGGTCCAGACTTTAGGCGGATAAGGAGCTTCAGAAAACAACTTCATCCTGTGCTTTAGGAAAGACAGAAGATTGAGAGACAGAAGGCACTGGGTGGAGCCGGGGGCACAGGGGAGGTCAGGGATTACTTGAGACTTCTTCAGTTCAGCGTGTCAGAGTGTCATATTCTGGGGTACTGGTTTCTGAGCCCCAACAGAAGAAAATAATCCCACTGCAAAGAACGAGAATCTCTCATATCTCAAGGGAGCAGAGTTTCCTGGGATGGGCTCAGGCCGCTCTGAGAAAGTGCTCTAAGCCCTCCAATCAATCCGACAGATACAGGATCTGCTCCAAGGCAGAAGGAAAGACAAGTAAAGCCCAGGAAACAGAAATCTATCCAGAACAAGAAAGCCATCTAAAGGCTGCAGTCCTCTCACTCTACCTGACATCAGACCCACCTTTAAGTAAAGCAGATGGGATGGGCAATCCTGGGACAAAGGAGGGCCTGTGAGGAGTGGCTGCCTGCATACCAGCAGGGGACACCCCCAACTGCAGCTCCGGCTGGCTTCACCAGAGCTGAGGTGTTGAGCTACAGCATTCCTGGGGAGCCCTGTATGAACCCAGCATATCTCTACCCCACCTCATGACTTGGTATCTGTGTCTTCTT